AAACAAAGTTGTGCCACCTACATATTGATTTTTGAGCCGCACAGGCAGAAAATACTTTAATTTATTCTTAAGACAGCCAGTTTATGCTAAGATCTTCTAGTTTTTATCCAAACTGATGAACTTTCAGCTGTTTTGAACTGAGATCAACTTGTATCATTACCGTTTAGCAGAGAATACATTGTGTGGGTTGTTGTAGTTTTCATCTTGTATATGAAAATGATACATGTACGCAACAAAGGAGCAATCATTACAGGATTAGTCATCACAACAAAGTGACCATTGTGAGCTGTGAGAGCAGTGTGAGAGCACTTAGTAATGTCATGTGGCATTACACAGAACATGATCACTGATGTTAATAGAATAAAACTGCTCTGTCAAATATGTCACTGTAAATGTGTCCAAATGAATGTCAGCAAGTAGGAAATCAAGGGCACCCTATTGTGGAGTAAAAATAATAATTTTGGCATTTTATCAAGAGTAACTTGTGGGCACCCGGATAGCTCAGTGGGTAGAGCTGGCGACCCATGAACCGAGGCTGAGTCCTTACTGCAGCGGCCCGGGGTTTGAATCCGACCTGCGGCCCTTTGCTGCCTGTCATCCCCTCTCTCTGTCCCCTTTCCTGTCTATCTTCAGCTGCCACTATCAATAAAGCCAATAAAAGCCCCCCCCAAAAAAAAATATACAAAAAAAACTTGTAATATCTACAGTCTTCAGTCTCTATCGGAACACATGAATAATTACAAACACCTACGTTGGAAAAAGAGATCATGTGATAGCACCACAGCCCACGTGAATGGGCAGTTTTATTGGCTGTCGAGAATTGTATACATATTTTCCTTTGCAAAAATACATCAATACAAATACAAATGAAGTAAAAAATAAATAAATGCCAAATAAAAACACCTTTAACTTTGAACTTAATGACAGTTGCAGCTATACAGGCAAGTCATACTGACTCAAACGAGTTAGCAGTACATGTCCGCTGATAATCCCATTTACTGGTTTTAGAAACAGCATGAGGTAACAACATATTTCCAAAATTGCCAAAACAAAGTGACCTAATTAATAGTACAAAACTGTAGAACAAAGTAACTGCAAAGGTAATAATTGTGGTGATGGGAGCAGTCTAAATATCCTGCCTACACGTGTAAAACAGAGACAAACTGCACTGCGAAGGAGGAGCAGTGGACTCTGAGTAAACAGCATTTGACAGTGTGGCTGGTGAACAGACCTTCAACATTATACTGTGAACATTAGAAAGCTGGTGTCTTTAATCGGACGTCCAACTGTAAACTTTCGCTACTTTACTTGTATCACTCGAAGCAATTATTTTGTTCATATTAGGTTTTCTACATTGCATGAAATAAATACATTGCAGTAAATGTTATTTCACAAAGTTTATACTGGGTTTAATCTGGGTGTGGTGGTGCAGTTTAACTGAAGAGGTGGTGGACTTTCCGATCTGAAAGCCTGAGATACAACTAAAGAATCATAAAACACAGTCGGAAAATCCTCTGAATCTCTATCAGCTGGTAACCAAACAGCAGCAGGTGGCAAAGATGCTTTGTCAGGCTTTAATTTAGTCTTTTTACAGCTTTTAAGTGTAGGCAGAGATTGTACAGCACCTTTTCCATTTGGACCATGAGTCATATCAAATATGTGTTTATCAGTCTAGATTGTTTACGACATTGTTTGTCTACGTGGAGTTTTGTTTGCCTGCTGCACGGAGCTGTCGATTCAAGTCAGTACAAACGACAGATGATGTTTTGTGTGCCGATTAGAAATGGAGTGGAAAACGTGCCCAGTTTCAAACAGCACCGTGCCCGTCGGGTTTTAGAGTGCACCCATCGGTGGAGTGAACAACAATTTACAATACGGTCAGAACGAGCAACGTTCCCATACAAGCCAGTAAAGGTCCAGTTTCACCTGCTGGTGCTGTTCCCTCGTGATGTCCCCCATATTCCAGGATGATGATGCCCCCATCCACACCGATAACAGCAACTCTACAGTGCTAAAGTCAACCCTGTCCATGGTCTTCAGAATCACCAGATCTAAACATTGTGTAGCCATTATTTAAAGTTCTGAAGTGCACGTTATCAAAGTAGATTCCCATTGTTTCCAAAGACTTGGAGGTTTTCCATCTTGAGAAATGGTCCAACATCCCAGTGCAGACAGTTCACGGCAGAGGTCAAAGGTTTGAAGCTGCTCTGAAGGCATAGGGGGGCCCGATCCCTCCCGGCCGCTGTAACGTATACGTCGCTAACTCTGAATGTGCCAAATATACATAGATGCAAAATATTTTCCCTAAACACCTCACAGAGTTACATGGCATGCAGATGATATGTCCAATGTCAAAGTGATGTTAAATGTGTTGGTGGATTGTACATACAAGCTTGTGTCAGTGTCTCAGCATTACCGGAGCAACAGTAGCGGTTAATGGCTGCTGAACAGGGCATCAAGAGACGCTGTGAGCAGTGCTTTCTTGTTCTGAGGAATCTGGACGGTGGTCCGAATGAGGCGACGTATAGAGGAAGTTACAGCACACGTAGAGGGGGAATGATAACAACCGGCTGTCCAGGTTCATCACCACATACTCCTGAGTCATTGAAGGGAAAAGAAGAATATTAAGCAAGTCAAAAACAAAAGCATTTTATACATGACAATTAAGTCATCTACAGCTTTAGGTTAACAGCGCTCACTGACCTGGTCTTTCTCAAGGGTGAGCAGCTGGTAACCGGTTGAGCGGCTGCAGACCAGCTTTCCACGGCTATCAAAGGAGGCGAGACGTAACCTGAACAAATAAAAATGGTCAAAAGGAAGGTTAAACACTTTCCAAGATTACATGTGTGAAATGTAAATGTAAAATGTCTGTGTTTGGTTGCCAAAAGTTAAATGACAAAACTGATGCCACTCCACTCGTGCCTGTAAGGTTAATATGATGCTGCAACCAGCAGTTGGACAACAAAGCTTAGCATGAAGATTGGAAACAGGGGGAATAAATGTATTTCCTGAAATGTCAAATTCCTTTAAACAAATATCAAACACCAAGTTTTAATACATAATTATTATTTACTCAAAAACAAACAGTATCACAATATTTGTTTTGTTTGAGACTCTTCTTGCAGACGAGTAACAATCAGTGTGCTTATTTTAAAGTCCATGATAGACACAGCTGTATTCGATAAATTCAGACCTGTATGCCAGATGTCTTCGAGGTTGCAGACTCACAGCGCCCCCACATGGCTGACTCAGTGTATTTCTTTTGAAGACTATGAAACGGTTCGTGTAAGTCACCAGCAGGTCAAAACCAAAGTTAAAGCCTGTCCACCGCCAGCAGTACTGAGGAGAGGACAATATTAGTTTTTTTTCTGTAGAAATTAAACAAAATACATTGTACAGGAGCAAATGTTATTGTAGCAGGAAGAATGTCCGACTCACGTCTCCATCTTTTGTCAGTTTCCTGCCGCACCTCATACTGCTCAGCTCGAACTCCTCTTTGTTAGCTTCATGTGGACTAATGACAGAAAGGTGCCTTTGTCATCCCAACAGCATTAAATCAAAATCTACAGAGCTATTGTGGTTATATCAAACAGTCCACTGACATTACAGTTGTTCAGTTCTCACCCATTATCATTGTCAAATTCTGTCCGGAGCATAGCGAACCACTGGTTTTTGTACACCATCATTAACCAATCTGGAATAAGTTTGAATAGAAAATATTAACAGAAGCAAACATTGGGATGAACAATGGTTTTACAATTTGTCTTTTGTTAAATTTAATTAAAATCTAAGTCTATTTACATCACTTACAATGAAATGAGACAATTTAAGGCAACTTAATTAAGCACCAAATGGACACAGAATTTTGGTCTAAATAACTGGGTTTCTTCTTCTGAGAATAATCAGTAAAGTAACTCGAAAGTCCATAAAAAACTGAATTTAAATTTAATAGTTCCATTCATGGCTTTGATACTAGATAATGATATTAAAGATTTCTTTTTTCCAGAGAACAGAAAAAGCAAATTCATGATTAAATTATGTCAGACAGAGCCGCATCTTACCAGGGGGCAAAATATTGTCTCTCTCCAAGATGCGTGCAGAAGCCAGATCGTTGATGATGTATTGGAGACGAACGTATTTGAAGACTGAACGGAAAGGTGCGCCCTCGTCTGTGTTCAAGAAGGGCTCCTTCTCACACAGGTCTGTAAACAAAGCCAGTTGGAATCAGAGTCAAACATCTGTGTGTGTGGCTGCCAACAACAAAACCTTGTATATGAAGAGAAGTGCTTCATAAGATGTGGCTTTACTGTACCTGTCCTGCGTTTGCAAAGCCAGGCGTCAGCGTCAGCCAGGAGCTGCTTGATTGGGCCGTCCCACAACAGATTGAGCTGCAGGAACATCCACTACAGAGAGAGACAATTGCAAAGAGAGCTCTTAGTAAAAGGTCTGTTGGTATAGTATAGTATAGAGTTATAAAGTATATCAGTTTACCTTTTTCAGAGCAGTGTATACATCCATCTCCACCTGCATGACAAACAGGTCCGAGGACTGGATGAGCTGCTCCATCACCTCAGTCCTGTAGAAGCGGTGCAGAGGTAAATGGTGAATATGGTCAGACAATATGTTTACACTGTGAAACTTAACTACTCAACACAGACATTTGATTGTCACAGCACTAAAATGTATCAAGACAATCATAATTAAGCAGCACATTGGTTCATGCCAATATAGAAAATATATTTTAAGTTAAGAGAGAATGAAAAACACAAGATGAGAGCTGAGCACACATACCCAAGTTCTTTCATCAGCTCAACATTTTGGTGTGTCATAAGGTTGTTCAGAAGCCACTCAAGACACCTGCAGAGAGAGATTCACAAAAACACACGCGCAGTGGGTGTAAGTACACAGCATGACGGACGGATTTAGCCGTTAATTACTGTAATTTTAAATTATTTAAATCGAATTAAAATCTGACTTTTTCATGACTGAATCCAAGCCATAGATACTGGCACAGGCATAGTAGCCACACACAGTCTTCGCACTGATGTTTTCTTTCATGGTCTCTCCACATTGCTGGATCAAACCATCCTGTAAACAACAACAAACCATGAGACTTCATTGGGTTTTGTATCATATGGCTGCACAGACAAAAATCTACATGGTAACTACTTTTTTAAGACAACGTCATTCAATGTACTCACCAGCTGTAGCATACAAGCAGCGGCAAGAATACTGACAACCCTGCTGGGCTTGATCAGAACATCATCCCGGTACAGTGATCCGAATACCACTTGTAGAGCTACACACACATGAAACAGTAAAGTTCTGTCAGTAAAACACACAACCAAACAAAAACACAAACAATACAAACAACCAAACAAACACAGTCGACTGCTGCTTTCTGTGACTGAGGTCCTCTCACCTTCGGTGTCAATGTTCTGGTCCGGGATCTCCAAGTTAATTTCCATCATGTTGGACTCCTTCCAAGAGCCGCTGAACATGCTGGAGAAATACCCAGACTGCAAAATGCAAGATGGACAGAGAGAAAAGAGAAAGGGAAGTAGTAAGATAATCAAATGAGAGACAATAAGAATAATAATATATCCCTTACTGTCTTGTGTTTTAGTATTGGTGTTTTACCTGGCACAGGTATACTTTGTGGAGGTTCCACTCTTGTCCCAGAGCACAGATGCGAATATCACTGTTTTCCCCATTCAGGAACAACGTCTGATAAATGTATCGTGATGTGCTCTTCAATTTCTTTCTGCTCAAGTTTGGAAAACACAAAACAGACAACAGAATAATGTAAGACTAAATATTGAGGATAACATTAAAGATAACGATTTATTTTATACTGGACTTGCCTCCGAGGTGTATCTAATATGGCATCGTCCTCCTCTTGTTCACTGTCACAGTCACACTGAGCGTTTCGCTTCCTCTTCTTACACTCACATCCATGCTTACGACTGGTACTTGTGCCCTCTGCAGCTTCCTCTGGTCCCTGAGAGGGGGATTGGAACCTGCTGCCCAGACTTCCCATCTCTACACAAACAAAACAAATGTCCAAAAATAACAGGTCAGCTGTAACGTATAGATCAATAAAATATCAGAATAATGAGAACAGATAGTGTTGGGCTTCTGCAGTATCCTGGTACAGCTTGTGTGTTTTGTTACTTTTCTTGAGGGCTTCAAGTATCAATGAATTTCATTACTGATCAATTGGTTGATTCACTGATAGTTTAGTCTACGTCAGAAAATAATGAAATGTGCCCATTACAATTTCTCAGACGCACAGTGACATCTTCAAATTGTTTTGTCCAACCAATAAAACAGAAGAAATTAGCAAATTCACACATTTGTGAAGCTGGAACATGCAAATGTTTGTCATTGTCAATGTTTGGGCATAATATTCCACATTTTGATGTGATGTGTTGCGATAGTTTTAAAGTATCACTAATCATCTCTGAATATAAGCACGTTGGTGTATTTGATGGGCTGGGTCCAGAGGTGTGACATGGGGTGCCCCCTAAAACTGAACTGACATCCTAGTTTGGTGTCAATTTAACACATTAATTAAAAAATAACACATATAATTTAATGATCTGTTACGGCCATGTTTGAATTGATGGATTTTAAGTGTCAGGCTTAGTTCACCAAAAAAAGACATGTGTTTGGAAAAATGTCTGGAGATAAAACAATTTACTGATTTCTAATGCTACCTTTAGATATTTCTATTCGATGCTTTACTAATGTTTTTGAGTTATTATTTCTCTAGATCCGCCTCTGGGTATTTGGTAAACACAGTGGTATTTCACTTTGATATCGCCTTGTCTCAAAAATGAAACATCTCAATCAAAAATGGCATTAATAAGTTAAATGTTCAAGAATAAAACTAATGACATCAAAGCAAGTATGTTAGTAAACGTGGTGCTGTTATAATACACCTATCTTACTGAAAGAAAGGTAATAACTTGCCTCAAAAGGCTCAGATATTTGCATGTAGGTGTGTTTTTGAGTGTGAGAACAGAACAAAACAAAGCCTGTTTCAGCCACACTGGTCAACACGGACTCTCTCTCTCTTCAGCAGAAACCAACCACATGTAACTACAGTCTGTTCAACAACAACAAAAACAGCGACAGAGATAACTTACCTGACGATTAGCACCGGGGCGAGCTGAGGCAGAGGTGTGGGGTTAATCTGGACGGTAAACACCGGCTGATGATCTGTCAGACGTTGACGAGCCCGTTGAACAGGAGCTAACCTCGGAGCTAGCTTAACGTAGCTCACAAAAGGAAAACAAGTCTGAACACAATTAACAGCGTTTCTTCTGACAAGCTGCGACTCCACGCAAGCTTCCAGACCGCAAAACTCTTCGCGGTTCCAGTTACATTTTTTTTCTAAATTAAAGCAAATGTGACCCAGAGAGGTGACGTTAGGAGATGATGTGTGCTGCCCTTAAAATCTCTGGTTGCTTTTGTTATTCTTCTTCTCTCGGTGGTTCTCAGGCGGCTGCTCCGCTCACCGGCGCCACTTGCCGGTAGACGGGTGTATTACACCGGTCTGGAAAAAAGTCAAAAAGGTTTTTTTAATGTAAAAATTCCTTCATACTGCACCCGTACCTCACCCTTAATCTCTTAAAATATATATGAATAATCCCAATACATAAAAAAAAAAACATGGATGACCAATATACACATCAGGATCTATAAGTGAACCCTGCTGACCAGTCTGTCTGGTTCCTTTTGAGTCCAAAGTGCACTGCCAAATCAACAGCGTTAAGGTCTATATTCTACCTCTGAAGATTTTGCCTAATGCAGATATACACTGAAGCTTCTGAGAGGAAAATCATTTAATCATTTAGCTCAGAAAATCACCCAAAACTGTTTATTTAGTCTATTAAAATTAATTTTCTTTGCTGTTTACATTGATTTGAAACAGAATTAGATTTATTGCCAGGTAGGTTTTTACACATACGAGGAATTTGTCTTGGTTCAGTGGTGCATAAACTATACAATCACACAAAAATATACAAATCACACAACAATCACATACAAAAAATAGAGTACTTGATAGTATATCTTTAAGTTTAATGAAAGCAGGAAGGGTGGAGCATGCACCATTTATTTTTGTGTGACCACGAAATATCTTTTATGTTTTTATACATTACACAAACTGTTAATTACTGCAGTAGATTTCAAGGAAGGAAAGAACTACGTCATTTGTCACTAATTATATATTGGTCAAATACTGTGTAACCTGTATTTAATCAGGTAGAGTCTCTTTGAAATCAAGATCTGTTTTGTTTACAAGCAAACATACAGTTGAATACATGAAGCTTCCAATAACTAATGAATAATATGAGATGGTTTGAATGGAGCAGTTCTTTCAAGAAAACTGATTTTAAACTAAACATACAACTAAATCCTACCTAAGCTCAAAGCTTTGTCTTTATTTTATTACCAAATTACACAGTCTTTATATCTACTAATGAAACGACTCTTATGTGGCTGAAACAACATGCTTCTTTGATGTTGAAAAGCTTTGTTATGTACGTCTGGGTTGCCTGTGAGACAGCGTCAATGCATCCAAGGCAACCAGTGCACAAAGGTCTTTCTTGTTTTGCCGATTCAGACCACTTGAAAAACCTCTCGCACCCTTCCCCACTCACATCTGAATAACCCTCCCAACAAGAGCAAGACCTCACTGAATGGAGGCTAACCCCGGAGTGTTTAGTCTACAACCAATGTGCTGTGGCCAAAACTTACCAGTTTTGACAGACATTTGAGATTCAGCAGAAGTGGTCACTTTCCAGACCCTTAAAGAAACAATTAAAAACTTAACTCCTCCTGCCAATATTAAAGTGCAAAACCTGGAGAGGATTCTGCTCTTAATCTTAATCAGCCTCCAAAAGCTCAATTCAATACAGATTTACACAAAATAGCTTTTCAAAGTCAGATTCATCAAGATAACACTGATTAAGGATTTATGTGATGGCAGGGGTTTTATGAAGGGTGAGGTAATTATTGTTTTACAAAATTAAATCTCATCTCTATTAACTTTAATACAAGGCATTTAACAGGTTTGCTCTTCAATCCCCCCTCTCTTTTAGCTGCAGAGTAGCATTTGACATAAAAAAAAAAAACCCCACTGACATTGCCACCTGTCTTTAATAATGTTTATGTGCACTCTCTAAAAAGTAAATCCTTCACTGCATTATCTTTTCTCCAAATCCTCTGGGTCAACAGAGAAAAGCAGGTGAACAGAAAAATATGATTATACAATACATGACTGCCCTCCAGTGGTATCTGTGGGACTCTTCTTCACACCAGCAAGAGCTCATAAAGATTGGGTTAGTCTTTGTTCTGTTGTGTGCTTCTTGTTCAGAGCGATAATTCAATAAAATCAAAAATAATATGTCTTGATCTATTTGTTTTCTATGGTTAATATTTTTCAGAATCTAAATCAACACATACATACGGAGCCCCTAAAGGGACATGAAAAAAAAAAAAAAAAATCAACGTTTTAGTGCGCACTAGATAGTATCTAGTGCTCACTAGATGTTTCAGTGCGCACTAGATAGTATCTAGTGCTCACTAGTAGTTTTAGGGCACTAGATGTTCTAGTGCGACTAGATACGGTCTAGTGCGCACTAGATCCTATGGATGGAGTGTTGTGGCGAATCGCTGGCTCATTTAAATATTAAAATTAGCCATGTGTTATGGTCCAACACGAAATGTAACCATGAAATTACTTATTTTGACACTTTTAAGCCAATACTTACTACTATCTAGTGCGCACTAGATACTATCCATATTGTGGTGAATCACACATGGCTAATTTTAATATTAAATGAGTATTAAACTAATTTGTCTGTAAGTAAAAATAAATGTAATTAATCTGTACCTTTTATTAAGCCGCATTTAATGCCTGTCCCCTTTGGAAAATAACAAACAGTCCACCTTTGCACATTACCTTGTTAGTTTAATACGTTGGCTTAAATGTGGTCAAATAGTATTTCATTGGTTACATTTTGTGTTGTGCCTATTAACACTGGCTAATTTTAATATTTAAATGAGCCAACACTGATCCTTCTAGTGCGCACTGTCTATCTGTGGACAGATACTCTAGTGGCACTGATCTTCTGTGGCACAAGATACTTCTGTGGCGATATATCTAGTGGCACAGATACTATTGTGCTCACTGAAACGTTTATTTTTTTTTTTTTTGCCTTTGCCGTACATACACGATTAATAATAACATAAAAATTATCTGTATCTCGTGTATCTTGGTGTCTCATGTGTTTTTTCTGGCCTGAAACATATTTCACCACAAACACAAATACTTATTTCACTAATATGGTGACTCTTTTAATGACTTGCCCAGTGAGATCTCAGTCTAACAGGGTCAGGGAGAATTAAAGTAGTTCAAATAAATAAGTACATCATATTCATAAGACAATATTTAGTTTTTCTTTGAAAGCTAAAATATAAACCTCCTTGTCAGATATAAAATCAGGGTAAATATCATATAAAATGTTAATTTAGGCCAAATGAGATGGCGCTTTAGAGAACAACGAATTAGAGTATACTTCATGCACTATTCATAAATGGCCTCATCACGTAGTACTCTGCACTAAAATATTCTTTATATTATTTTTTACAAGAATGTCTTCTATTTGTACTCCCCACAGTACTCGGAAACTACATTTCCCAAGAGGTTTTGGACTGGTTAAATAAAATTTGGTCCGATAGAATAAATAAATAAAATGATATTTTGCATGAATCTAAGTGTGCGGAAATCTTTAATATCAGTTTGAACATTAAAAAAAAAAACATATATATTTTTAAAATTATATATTTTTCCCCCATTTTTTCTACTAAAGGTAAAGTAAAGAAAAAGAAAACGTGTATATTTTATTGCACTTTTACTTATTTATTTATTTATATTTTGTACGTGAGGCGGAAGCTGCCGGCGGCAGGATATGACGTATGGGGTGTCCCCATTGTGGGCGTATCCGTCGGAAGAATCAGCCAATGAACGACGAGCACCTCTGTCACAACATTCCAATCCCTCCCAAACCATCCACCTCCTCTCCCTGCCTACCCTGTGTGTGTGTGCGTGCGTGTGTGTGTGTGTGTGTGTGTGAGAGGGGGGGGAGGACACTGACACGTAACTTTGTCTGCTTCGTTGACGTGACCAGGCAGGACACCTCCACCTGGGGCAGGGAGAGTAGAGAGAGAGAGAGAGCACTTTACAGACCCCCTCTCTCCGACCAAAAACCGTTTTATTCTGGACATTTTGTAACATGGAGGCGAGAGACGCGACTGCAGGTGAGGTTGTTGTTAGCAGTGACACTGTATTGTTGTTCAGACGGTGTAATGACCACTTACGCGTTCAACCAAGTTGTTTCCTAAACCAAAGCCGCGTTTGGTTTGTTTTGTAAATCATAAACCATGCAGGGATTTTCATATAGTCTAAATAAAGCACAATAAGTTGGTAGACATCGTGTTTTAGTACACACTACCTTGCGTTTACTCATAAATAAAACTACACTGTATCTGTTCAACCAACTAGGCGCTCTTGTGGGCAGTGATGGAGAGCAACAAACCGCAAAGAAGGATGCAGCTCCTAAAAAAGACAAACCACAGACCAAAAGCAAGATGGAGACCATATTTGGGTTCAGGAGGGAGGACCTGACCTCCTGGAACAGCCTGGTGGCCCTCCTGAACCGTCCCACTGACCCTGCATCCCTGGGCATCTTCCGCTGCTTGTTTGGTAAGTCAAGATTGCTCAGACCGTGAGCTGGGTGGAATAACAACACTTTGGTTATGCAGAAAATCTGTGTGCAACTAATTAATTTGTCTTCTATGCAGGTTTGCTGATGGCTATTGACGTCACACAGGAACGTGGCCTCAGTCACCTGGACTACAAGTACCTGGATGGTGCCCCTGTGTGCCGCTTTCCCCTCTTCAATTTCCTACAGCCACTGCCACTGGATTGGATGTATCTGGTGTATGTGGTGATGTTCCTCGGTGGGTCACACTCCTTTTTATTTCATATTAGACGCTTATGTCCAAAAGGTTACAGGTTTAAAGGCTCACACACCTGTTTTTACTGAGGCTGTGTGAGGAGACTGGTCTGAGCGGATGCAATCATTATATAGGAAACTGTCTCTGTGGGACGGCTGTCTACGGTGAAGATGAAAGCAAATAACACCAGACCTGCAATTTTCCACCAAGCCAACTAACAACCTTTAGTTTTCCATATATTTTTATGCAGCGTAGCTCGTTGTAGCTTAAGCAAGACGGCAAACAGAAAGAACACGACAATCAAAGTAAATAAATACTGATAAAAACAAATCATTAAGGCTGTAAACTTAGTACTTTGGTACAAATCTCTTCTCAATACTTCCAGCAACCTTTGTTTCTCCTAAAGATTCACCAGAGGAATTTGAAAGCAACGTTACTTTTTCGGCCGATGTTTCACATCATTGACATTA